AAAAAGGTGTTTGTTTGGTGGGCTTTTTGTTACTTGCCTTTTATAATTTTTATCTAAAACAGCTCAAGGAAAGTTTAGGGTCAGTGGCACCAATAACATATTTCAAGGTTAAAGTAGTATTGAGTCTTTGTTTTTCATAAAAAAGGAGGAGAAATTTCTTTGCACAAATCCAGAATACTTTTTTAAAATTCCAACAAAAAGTGGATCAGAAGCTGCCACTCGCTTTTCATGAGAATGTTTAATTTCTGTGCACTAAGGCCCAAGTCCTAAGAGCACTGAGCTGAATAGCAAAACTTGCAATTGCTTCCAGTAGACTTAATTACATTTTGTACAGCTCTGTCGCGTTAAACAAGACCGACTTTTCATACACATATAGACATACCTAGAGAGAAGAATTCCTCAGCACGAATCCATGCATGAATTTACACTTACGCTGTGTAAAAATGCATCCTGCACACACACACAAGCAGGCACCTGAATGCACACATTTATAGGCAGGAATCTGTTCACCTTACAGCGCTGCCGGTACAACGGTAGGAGTATGTAAGTGTGCAAGCCGTGGCATACCCGTACATATGGACACACATGCACTTACATACAGATACGGGCAAATGCGTATTCATATATACTCAGCTGCATTCGCATAGAAAACTGTACACAGAGATGGACACACGCAGTGCTTTCTGTCTCTCTCTCAGGTATCTTTTTCGAAACTGGTTCCCACCTTCTCAGATTTGTCTGCGCTTTCTCAAATTGTTCTGGGACCAGCCAGCCTCAGGGAATTCTCACATTTTGATACAGTGAAACAGATTAATACAGAATGGCTTGCTTCTGCTGGAAGTAACTTGCTTTCATTTGTTAAACTTGAAATCTTTGATAAAGTATGCAAAGGAAAAAACAAAATCAAGGGGAAAGAGGCTTGTTTTCTAGAAGCCAAGGAGACTGCATCAAAAAAAGATGTGAGAAAATCAGCTCAGCTGATGATTCACGGTCACATTTCTCAGTATCTTGTAAAAAATAATAATAATCGTTTTTGATCTCTCTAGATTTCCAGAACTTCAGCACCCAGCAGTTTATCAGCTTTTATCTTTCTCCCCGTTGCCTTTGCCTGTTTCCTTCCACTGCATTATTTTACTTGCAGTCTTGCACTCCAGTGAATCTCTGCCTTTTAAATAAACTGGAAGAGAGAAACGAGAGCTCCACTCGGAGAAGCTACAGATAAGCACAAAGTTCTCTGGGATTCAGGATCCAATTAGGTAAAATAGGGGCTTGCAGGGAGGTTGCCTTGCGTGGAGCAAAAAGCCTTTGGAGTGTGCCCTCTCGTGGCCATTCTTTATTCAGCGCCGATATCCCTAGCGTTAAATACATTTCCTTGAGAAAGAGAATTGATGAAATGAGGCATAAGTGACCCGTCCTTTCCCTCCGCCTGAACGGCTAGCTTTGCCGTATAGCACTAAGTATTTTGCTAGGAAAAGATGTGAGCGCGTATGTACATGTGCGCACACACGAGTGCAGATATTAAATGAAAAGTCAATTCACCTTGAATTCAGGATGGAGTGATACAAAAAGGGAGAAGCTGTGTAAATAGCTGTCACACTTCTCATTTTTTCCTGACAGTTCTCTTAATTATAGGCTTTTGGGTTTCAGTATTTCCTCCCAGTAACTCCCATCACCCTCTCGGGGGCTGATGTTAGCAACCCATTTCATTGGTAGTTCAGTTGCCAGGATCAAATTCACTTGGCAAAATCCCAGGTCTGCCTAATAAGCTATCTGCTTAAAATAATGAAAGAGTTAGTAGCCAACCATATTTTATGAGCGCTGGCTATCTCAATTATGGAACGTGCTGGATTTGCTTGTCAAGAATGTATATGATCCCTCTCCTCAAAAGACAATTTTTAAGACCTTGAAGTCAGCCACAGAGCTCTGGCACAGCTACACTCATAGCAGCACTAATCGAGCTTAGTAATCTTAGTGTGATATGCAAGTAGAAAATCATTTTTGTGTTTTACTTGTCAGAGTGCCAAAGGACAGTAGGGTGCATTTGTAAACTTTTGCCCAATACTTGCGGTCATTAGTTTTGCAAAGATCTGCCTGGATTTGTTAGCTGTGAAAACTACCTGCCAACTATTTTGCTGATTTCCTGGACATAACTACACCTGTGCTTCAGACAAATTCACTGCGTTTAGTTTCCCCTCCAGTTGTCCGTAGCCTACGCTCGTTTGAATTTTAGTCCATTTTATAAAATAGTAGTCTCAAGCCAGAGCCACGTGCACAGGGCACTGTTTGTTCATTCACTCCATTTCATTGTATGTCTGAGGCTATGGCTGATGAAGGATGGAAATACTACTTTTTTAATGAAAGCAAGTAGTAAATGTGGCTTCTGAAAGGTATGGGGCGAATGGCTGGCTTGTGTCAAATCATACCCAAAGGAACAAAAAGCCTAAATTCTTATTTCTCTTTCCATGGACGTTTATTTGATACCATGTGAGATATTTCCATTCATTTTCATTGATTTCCTATTCCCCTCTTTCTAGATGGTGGGAGTTTCACATTACAAGCAGGAAGAACATTAACCTGAGTGTAAGAGTAACACCCTTTTTCCCCTGCTTGGTGCTTAAAACTTCCCCCTGCTCTTTTCAGTTCTTACAGGACAGTGGGGACTGTCCATGTAGCTACAGTCTATTCCTGTCTTTTTTCCTCATACTGCCTATGTGACATGTCACTTGTCTTCTCTCTGCCTCACTTTCCTCAACAGGACAATCACACTCCTTTAATATCTGACACTTAACCCTCTTGGCATGTGAGCGGAAGGGGTCCCAGGTAGTCTACTTATGCTGTTACAGCATTAGTGCCTGGAAGGCGCGGTGGATCCTTGGTGTGAGAGAGATGCCAGCTATGAATGGCTGCAGATGCAAGATACGTTTCAGTAGCTTGCAGTAACTGCACAGCGTGGAGTTAACATTTCCATTATAAGCCAAAAGCCTAGAACTTGGTTTCTCGTTTCTAATTGCTCCTCCCAGATAAAAGCCTAGCAGGTAGGGGAACCAGGGCCAGAGCAGCCCGCTGAAGGCTCCTGCCCCGGCTCCCCAACGAGGTTAGCATAAAGTGGAGAGCAGCAGCGCTGGGAGGAAAGCCGTGAGAATACAGTGCGTGCCCAAGACATTCAACAGGGCAACTCCATAGCATAAGGCTCAGTAAATTAATTTGGCTGGCAGTGGTAAGACACCGGTATGTAAATCAAACTAACTGACGTGTTAGTGTTGGGTGGCTTGCAACGGGGGTGGGGGCGATTGGTGGCTGGACTATTGGCCAGTGTGTGGGCAATGGCACGATTTTTGCTGCTCACGTGAGCCTGTGAGCCAATGGCTTCAGGAGCTGCCGTTGGAGAGTGTCGTACTGAGTAGGCATATATCAAATTCCAAATTCCTTTGTGTCAGAGCTCAGGAGAGACAATAATGTGTTTACAAATGATTGGGACTCACACAGTGAAGAGAAACCACTGTTCATGCCATATGTGTTTCACTGTGCTCAGAGCGAACTGCTGAAAACCAGGTGGGGAATCCGACTTGTAGATAGCCTAGAGATTTCACTGCTTTTAGAAACTCATTTCTAAACTATGGTCGAGCCACCCCTGCTTCTAATAATCACTTGCATTGACATCTTCTATCTGCTTTCAGAGGTGGAGGGAACGAAAGAAAGGAAAAGCCTGAGCTTTCATAGTGAAAGAACTGATAACGTGCGCATTGACAAGGACGCCAAAGG